GAAGATGAGAATATAAGTAATAATTGTGCTGTTGTTGTATCAGGAAGGGGATTTTAATTCGGCAACTATTCCCGAAATAAAAATTTTGAGCCGTCTTAGTAGTCCGGAAAACTACTACTTGAAATTTGAAAGGAACCGTAAGACAGTAGAATATCAGCTATCAACTTTATCTAATTTTACCCTTTTTAATTGATATTTGGATAATAGATATGTTGGCAAATCACAACTAAAATATTGTAGAAATTTTATTAATTAAAGTCAAGTATCTTCTAGGAAGATTGTGGACTACAGTTTTAGCTTACTGCCAATCTGACGATATTTGATGAAATATAAGCCAGCTTCGCAATTTCCGATTACTACCGGTATCTGCTTCGTCAATATAGAGAAAAGTCAATGGTTAGCAAAATTGGCAGATATTCACCATAATCATAACCGGTATCTCAGTTCTAGTTCACAGATAGAACATGTATGATATTCACTTGATCGATATAAGCAACAACCTAATACTAACCATAAACTTCAAAGTTAAATAGCATGCATACTTTTAGATGTATTTCTTATTCAGATAACCTACTTATAACAATAGTCCGTGATAATTCTCCTAACCAAAGCAATCTACAGTTAATCAATATTTAGCACATTCTAAGTCTCCTTATTTTACTAAGACTATAAATATAATTTCGATGTTGATCATCTTTCAACTTAAATTACAATTAATTCCCAAATGATACTGCATCGTTATGGCCCTTTACACTACTCTATTTACCTTTTAAAATTTCAAATCCGCTACTTAAAATCCTCAAAACAAGAAATATGGATTGCAGATTGGATCAATTATAATCTCAATATGGATCCAAAATATTTATAACAGTACCCAATGATCAATAGATTTATTAGTATCGTTCGTACCAATGCATCTGTATAAGAATCACGTTTATATTCTCCTTGTTGCCATTTTTGATGGAAAAATTCATTTTTTCATTATGCTAAATACTAGTAATAAATGCAAAATATTATAAGAACTGTAATAAATTTTCCTAGGAGAGAAAAATTTCATACATATCACAAAATTTTCTCCCATTTATAAAACTAAGATATTTGGATCCGCAAATTATATCGTTATTCTCGACTTTTCATCTGGATTAAATTTAGGCAAACATATTATATGAAAGTCATTTTAGGACCATAAACCTGGATAGGGTAGCAGTGAAGAAATTGACAATGCACCAAATTTCTTTTAACTGGTCCTAAAAAGCGCGTATGATGATACATCGTTAATTCATAATTGTAAATCATAACGCTGCCAAGAAATACTCTATTAACGAATATAGATTTTAAAAATGAAACATTTTCTATAGATAATTTTTATGAGGATTGTTTAGTCAACTCATGAATTAGACTACTGCACATTGATACTTTTGTTAGTTTATAGGGTTAATTCTACATTGTACTTCTATTAATTAAGCTCTTCCAGTTACAGTTCAAATCAGTGAATGAAACGGCAATTATTCTATTCTAGATAATAATTAACTACTTACGGTTAATTGACCTGCTGGATAATCAAAGTTCTTTTGAGGCAGCAAAATGAATTGTTAATGTAACAATGCAATCATGCAATCAAGCTTTAAGTTGTAGCAGTCTCATATTATATTATTACTGGAATTTAAAGATCTTACTGGTTGACTGTCTTATCGTCAGTATTAGCCGCAACAGTATCTAGAAAGCAAGAATATCCTTATGTTATTGTAAAAAGATATGAATAATACTGTGCCTGCTTTTTAATTATGGTCATTAAACAACGACAACGTTATGACTATTAAGCATTTGCAACTTTAATTCCAAGCTAGGCAAAGTTTCTAAATCAACCTATATAGGCTTAGATATGCGTATGATGGTTTTGACAAATCATTTCTACTTTTAGTTCGAGTTGTATAGCTTTAACCATACCATTACTCAATGATCTTCATCTCGAAGCCAAGCTTGATGAAATACGATATATTCCCAGTAATTTTATTATTCAACAGTTATGGTATTAAATCGCTTCGATTTCTTCGTTAGAAACTACATTAAAATTAAACTGGATGATTTTAACTGTTTTTATTGTAAATTGAGTTCATAAAAGAAATTTTTAGATTGAAAAATTTAGGGAACTAATTTGTCCTCTCCTCAAAGGTCTTGAATACTTTGCTTATTATTTGATCAAAAAGGTTGCTATACCGATCAATAATGGAGAAAAGGTAGCTATGAAACCTTGAATTATGAAACGATATGCAATTAATGCTATTAAGCTAGCCTACTGATTAATAGTTGACAGCAATCAAATTATGATAAATTACATTGTAAGCTAGATGCCAAATATAAGATTTTCGATATTATTATACTCGTAATATTCATATCAACAGTAAATTCGCGTATATTCGTTACGGCTACCGCTAAACATTTCTTTTAGAACTGGATTTCAAGCGCTGTCATGGATCTGCTAGTTTCAGAAAATACTGGCCTGCATACGATATTCTCATATTGCAATAAATGAGATTGTCAAAAATATAAAGAACAAAGGCTAGCAATAATGTTAGGCGAATTCGATCCGAAGTAATTGATTCGTTTGTAGCTTTTAAAGACTTTACTATCGATAAAGGCTATCGGCTTTAGATGTCATGTTTACTAAATAATTCACGATATCCTGCCTGATATTTTTAAGCATGATCGAAATTCGATTAATTCAACATAGGAGAAATATCTATTTCATTTGATGAGAATATGATGGACATGTGACGATACAAGATGTAGGATATTCAAAATTGAACTACTTCCTTGTATAAATAAAATATTGACTTAATGCTTGATAAGCAATAAAGATCAAATCAGGATAATACTAGAATGGAGTAGAATTTGGTATTAGATAATTGTTTACATCTTTTGATAATCATGTCATGGCATGTTGAATGTCATCAAATAATACTTTGTTGTTAAATAATAGTTCTCATTTTGAGAATTTATAATCTGGTTTCAATGAGAATACACAGAAATAGGATCATGCATCGTCTATTGAATCAATAGTTAGAATGATCTTATTTCTATAAAGTAGAACAGCGATAGATAGTATTTAGTTACATTAAGATTTATAGATTATCTATTCATTTTTTAATTTCTAGTCGATTTAGTTGATATATCTAGTCGACTTATTCACGTCATTTAAATTAATTGCTATCAACAGCTGACTCTATAAAGTATCAATTTTAAAATAATAAGTTAGAGGAGAATTCAAATAAATGAAATAAGATAACATGTATATCTGTAGTTGTTTTCTTTCCTTTCGAATACCGACCAACGGATTAAATTTAAGAAAAAAATAAAACATCAATCAATCAATTAATCAATCAATCAATTAATCAATCAGTCTATTTAATATTATATTGTATATGCGCATATTCATTATGAATAGTAATTAAAAATTTAAAAAATACTAGATCTAAGTCTTGACCATAATAATATGTAGAAAACGGGTACTGAAAGTTGGCAATGTCATTACTTTCATAATTCATTGATGTCCAAACTGCAAAATATTTCCACTTCTCACCAATGAGATATGACCAATGCATACTCTACTTATTGTGCCTGATTCATGATTCGATAAAAGTAGACTATAATAAACATAGAGCGGTAATAATCCATAAAATAAACTTTTTAGTCGGATACGACGATGACGTTACAAAAGTGATGGAAGGTGAGTGGGTGTTTGGGAAGCGAAGGAAGACTGTTGATCATATCGGCGGCGACACTACTTCGTCCAATTTTAACTATAGATGAGATAATATTGACATTATTGATTATCAGATTGTCACACGTATTCATTTTGCCTATCTAGAGAGCTAATAAATGTTGAAAAATACTTCCTACAACTTCTATATCTAAATCATAAAATATAAATAAAGTTAGCTATCAATCTGCTAGGAAAATTGATCAGCAAAATTAAATTTCTAATCTATCGTTATGGAGATCTTATGGAGAAACTCTTGAATAGTTGTAACTTTTAATGATAATCGATTTTATTGGATAAAAAAATATAAATAACAACAAAAGAAAATACCTGAAGATAGCAGTAGACAAGATAAGCCTATAGAGAATAACAATATACTCATATATTCATCGTGCTATATAATTATTATCAATTCTGACGAATGAATGATTCATACTTAGATGTAGCCGTCAAGTTGTCAGATACAATAGATTGAATCCTGATAATATGCTTTGTTGATTTCTATTTTGTAGTGATATGAGTCATTAAACAATATGCTGGGATCTCCCTACATGCAACTATTTTTCATCTTTTCAGTTGAATAGGTGATATTCTTCTTCATTACTGTTCTTCATTCTTATTATTGACATAATATATAGCACTTCGGCGCCATCAATTCTCTCCATTTGTTAATATTATTTACTCCTCCTCTCTACCATGCAGGCTCAAAGTCTGCTAAATCATCATCAACATTTCTATTCTCCACCTCTTCCTTTTACTCTGGTTTCCCCTCCTCTTTTTAATTCACAACGTAGTTATAAATTGATTTCGATACCGGACACAACATCATTATTTTTAACTCATGGTATCTTGCTACCTTCTCATATTAAGATTTTCTGAATAATAAGAGTAATATCAACTTTACTTCCAAATATATTACATAACTACACGATCAAGACTGAATTTAAAGCTTTCTAATTACAGCATCAATCACGTTGCAATCCATAACGTGCTATTAGAATCCAAGTATTCCTGATAAAACTATCAGCATAACTGTGAGTATTGTTAAAATCAAGAAGAAATGGCCTACCTTCCTTATATGTATTGCTATCCTGAACATCGACATTCCAATAGTAATTTAATTTTAAATTATAATTACTTAAGTGGTTTTCAGCCATCAAAGCAACCTTATCCAAAACAACAACCGCAATCACAATATCAACAATATCATCCATCACTTTCATCTTTGGCTAACGGTTATTCTTCCTTACCTATAGGAAATTTTTCAACTGATCAATTTGCCTCAGTTTGCAATATTTTATTGCAAAGAAACCATATAGATCGCTTAGCCACATTCCTTTGGTCATTGCCACCCAATGATGAATTGAAAGTCAATCAAAATATCTTGTTAGCGCGAGCTACAGTTGCCTACCATCAACACAATTTCGAAGAATTGTATCAACTTTTGGAAAATTACCCATTTTCTTCCGAATTTCATCCTAAATTGCAAGAATTATGGAAAGAAGCACATTATCTGGAAGAGAAGCAATCGCGAGGAAAAGAATTGGACGCTGTGACCAAGTATCGTGTTAGGAAAAAGTATCCATTACCATTGACAATTTCAGATGGTGAGAAGATTACGTATTCATTCAAAGAGTCATCTAGGAAAATGTTAGTAGAATACTATCAACGTAATCCGTATCCAACATCGGAAGAGAAAGCTATCATTGCTGAAGCAGCCTCATTAACTAAAGTACAAGTTAGTAACTGGTTTAAAAACAAACGCCAACGCGACCGTGCTAAAAGTTGCACCACATGTAAGTGTTCATTCAGTCCTGTTTGATTAAATTATAATATAGAAGTATCGACATTTTCAATAAAATTGAGAAGGGGAGGATAAATGATAACTCTGATTGATTAAGGCTAAATTATGTATAGGTGAAAATTCTTTTAGATAATAAAATATTAGTCCAATACAATGTAATTGATACTGTAACGTTGAAAATTTTAGTAATTAATCAATGATTTGGCAATTTATCTGGGCAATAAATTTCCATTAAATGTAAATATAAGATTCATTCCTGTCAGTAGCGGCTATAGCACATATTCTATTGAAAGCTTTGCATAATTTCTACAGTATCGCTTCAATTTTAGATAGAATTGAGCTATAGGATATTGGATCTGAAAGGATTGTTGTAATTATTTAGATCGTATTTAAGTATGAGATAATTTTATTCTACATATTTACTAAATCAATTTATGAAACGTGGGTTTCCCACTCATTTCATAAATCTAACAATGTAGTTAAATCGATTAATCTGAGCCCATTTTATGCCCTTTGAAGCTAATTTTCACAATACTAGTATAATGCATTACGGAATAATTGTAATGAAATCCTGAACATAAATTACTGCTCTCTAGTTCATGTTAGTAATAGGCTGACTATGTCTACTACAGTATACAAATATACAGACTCCAGTCTATACAGTAAGTGCTGCACCAATACAATTTGGGTACTTATAACGAAAATCAGCTTGATTAAAGACACTAGCCGCTATAATCCATGTTAATAACGGTACCTTACTTACTGTAATTCCCATGATAAATGAAATCATTTCATATAAATTATGACTACAAAATCACCCTAATAAGACCGCTATCTAGATAATATAATTAGCTGTCCATGTTGCCGTGTTAGATTAGTCACATGCTGTATTGATTCGTATCATTTACTTTAGCAATGAGTTGATACTGACTGATGCAACAAAATAGACAAAAATACTTTTGCGAGTAATGAAAGGCGTTGTTAAATCTTTTACAACATCAAGTGGTATTCATTCTATCAGCGATGCTACTATCTCATATCATTTTACGATATTATATTTAAATTGTCTAATTTTCCTTTCACATTAATTATCAATACATAGCTTCAGAATCACAAGATGAAGATCTTGACATTTAAAGACTGATTATGGAAAAAATATTTGTTGACAATACTATATTCTGTGTTATGCGCATAGAGAAAAGATATATAAGACTATTAAAATTGGCAAATGAAATAATGAAAATCCTGGCATGGTAGTCGAACGGATGTTAATTTCAAATCATATCCAATATCTATTGAGATAATAGACAAAAATAATGTTAAATACCGATTTTTACTATCCGGATCATCTAGCTAAATCCACAAGTTCATAGTAGCGAAATTAACTTTAAAGTCAATCATTTATAATATTAATACTTTGTGAATAGTTCATTCGTTCTTGATTTTTACTATTAATTTGGTATGGATTGTTAAAACCTTCGATAAGAGATAGACATGTCAAAGATAATTATACAAAGAAGACAAAATTTGTAATCTAGCTTACATAGGTTATAACAGAAAATGCCTTACCCTTGCTGATTAATAATATTGAAATAAATTTTAAATTATGGCTAAAGTCGATAGTACTGCAGACTACAGTAAGATACTAAGCAATAGAGCTATTATCATTGAGAATCATTTTCTTTCTCTTTTTTCTATAATACAACGGTAAATATGCTCGGTAATATAAATATGATTAATATCAAAAGCCTTTCGGATAAAACCAAGTTCATTGTATTAAGTTACAGTGCCTTCGGAGAATACACATCTTGCAATTTTTCTGCTGACCTTACGATATTATTTTTAACATTTAATTGATTTCTTACTCTATTTCGTAAATTTATTACCTAATAATAGCCCATTGAAAGCCACGCTCTATTGTAACGAGAAAATTATCCATATCCCAACGAATTTTGGTTATTACAATAAAAACGGCTCCTTAAAATGATAATTTACTTGTCATAAATCATATTAGCATGGTATATATTGTGATTACTGGTTCTAAATACGCCAATTTCATTATTGATAGCTTTTGATAACGTAGGATTTGGTTTATACCGCATATAATAGACACAAATTCAAAGCTCTGCAATTGAAAATTTATATTACTGCTAGTAATAGTTTAGAGTGTTCGTAGTTATGGTGTCTAAGTTTCTAATCGACAGCTGAGTTAGTGTTCGATTTTTCTTTGTTCGCTACATTGGTAATTTAGATTTTAAAATTTGAGCGAGATAAGTTACTATGTGATTAAATGATTGAGTTTAAATAGATTGCAAACATTTCGTTTATTAATGTAGTCCCTATTTCTCTAAATTTATACTGAAATATCGCATGCGGATCTGTTTTGTAATCTTTCTTTAGATTTATATCCTATGTCAAGCGATTGGTATCAGCAATGAAACTTTGAGATTGCAAGCTGATATTACTGTATACAGTGCAACACATAAAATTATTAGACTTTTCCGTCATATCGTACGAAGCTTAATTTGTATTACTAGTTTATAAATAAGTGCTCATCTTGTCTGTTGATTATTAACTTGACAGCTATTAATAAGTACTGTTATTAGTGATCGAGGTTAACAATATATTAAAACAGACTGTCAGTATGGTCCAGTTTTAGCAAATAGTTTGTAGCAAGCAGCGACCGAGAGATTTATTTGCTTTGGCTTAACCGGTAAATTGTTTTCAGAAATGACTATATAACTAAAAACAGTATCATTACGCAACTACCCAGCCATTATAATCTTTCATTAAGATATTTTGTGTTTACACTAATATTAACGTTGTTCCGGTAACGCCGCAACATGGCAACTATTGAATGTGGACCATACTCTTTGATAAACTACTTTAAAGTCAATTCTTTTAATTATTTCGAATACATCCACTTTCAGTGGCGATCCAATTCTATGCAAATTTTAATCTATTCAATTTATTTATAGCATGGTCGTCAATTTATTACATTTGATCAACTTCCGCCAACCTCAAACACTTACTTTAATCGATATTTAACTTTAACTTATTGATATAAGAATTTAGTGCATGATATATTGTTTAACTAGCCTTTGCAATCCTGGAACCAGTATTTTCTAGTAATTAAGAAGCTACGTAGCACTCGATTAGGGATTTGTAACAGGTGATAATTATTTTTTAATTTTAAATTAAATTTACTACCACAGATTTTTCGTTGATGTAGACATCACGAATAACACTGTCAGTAATAAAGATATCTACGATCCACTGGATTCTTTGGACTGTTAAAGATCTTGTTCTGATACTCTATTACATTTAGCAAATGAAAGGATATTAAATGGACGCATTAGACAATGACCATCTTCGTCTAAGCACTTTATTAGTTCTTTATTTCTTGAAATGTTGTGATTTAGCGGATCTTAGTTACTTGTACACAAGAATATGATACATTTGAGTGGGTACCGCTTTGTAATCAAACACTTCAAGTTGCCATGCAATATTGAGAATCAAAAGCATGAGACATAGAGATTTGTAGGAAATTACCTACACCGTACATAAGTATCAATTTATACTTCTATTTTAATCAGCACTAGGATTTGTCGGCTTCTTATTGATTTTAATGACTTTTCTGAATCTTTATTAATCTTCAAGATGTTCTCTTCAATTCTTCAAATGTCACATACAATTGCATTGTCCTGGTAAATTTTAATTTCATTTAATAATACGAGTTTAATTGAATTTTCTCAGGAACGCGAAATCTAACTTATTTACAACAGTAGCCTTCAAACGTGATCATCATGACAGTACTGTCACTATCTGATGTTATAGGCTTGTAAAAGAAATCTTAAGGTATTCAATAATAAAGATGATTTTTTTTCTAAATTTTTAAATTAAACCAGCTAGATTTTGGTGAAGCGATTGCGATTTATTAGAAACTGTTGGTTCTCAATGCTTTAATCAATTCGCAAAACGTACGATGTTCGACGGTAGTCTGAGAGCTTGTAGATTGTCAATTAAGTTGACTCGTACCCAATAATGGCACTTTTAATAAGAACAAATAAAAATATAGAAACGTAAGAGTGCTTTCTGATTATTAATAGCCGGAATAACGTTGGAATCAGAAGGGAAACCCAATCTATACTCTAAATTAAAATTCTGCAAAGTTTTAGTTACAATTGATTCTAATGTTCTATAAAAAATATGCTGTAAGTGCTAAATGAAAGTGAGAATAACCCTTCTGTCGCTGACAATTCATTTCTATGTTCATGTTGTATCATAAGCTTTAAGTATGAGATCAATTCGTTTCATGTAAGGCTTTAATAAATATTGGAAAAAACATTAGCTAGTCTTAGTTTCGAGCTTCAGGCATTAATGATGAAAGTAGATAAACTTATATAGGTAATAGTATAATCGATAGAGATGACTGAAAACGTAAACATATTTCAGTCCATGATTTTTATATATCTAAGATTGAAAAGGAGGTTACATAATTGCGTTCGTCACAAAGTTTATTAGAAATTGAAGCAGATGTACGGCACCTTTTTACTCAGTGATTTACGATTATGCAATCACTACATTATCCACTCTAAATTGAAGTTCAATCTTCAGTATATTCATTGTATTTATACGTTATAGCTATAACATCTTATTTATATATGATCCGTAATGATGTTTTCAACTTCTAGAATCCTACTATGTTCGTTATAATGCAAATATTAAAACTTAAAACATTGCCAATACGGTAGCATAAAATTTTCATGGAATACCTAAAATACCTGTACTTCAACGATTAGAACTACTTGAAAATTAGTACTGCTTTAGATATACTTATAAGAGTAATTTACCAGATGGCAAACTTGAGAGCATTTTTTTTTGCAGTATTCAGTACTAAAAAATAAACTACGTTTTATGTTTCTGCATGTCATGGCGCAGTCAATTAGAAGCGATCTATTTTTCTAAAATATGAT